ACACCATTATTTTGAAAAACAATTTTCCTACTGTAAGACCTAGTTCCAAACCCCTTTTTATCCTCGTTGAAACAAAGTTTTCATAATATGATTTTCTTTCTTTCTTTCTTTTTAATGTTTATTTACTTTTGAAAGAGACAGAGCATGTGTGAGGGAGAGGCAGAGGGAGAGAGCGAGGGAGACAGAGAATCCGAAGCAGGCTTCAGGTTCTGAGCTGTTAGTACAGAGCCCGACGCAGGCCTCAAACTCATGAACCGTGAGATCATGACCTGAGCCGAAGTTGAACGCCTAATTGACTGAGCCACTCAGGTGCCCCCATAATGTGATTCTAAATAAATGATCTGATGGAACTGGAGAGTATTATGGTAAGTGACATAAGTCAGGCAGAGAAAGACAGCTACCATATGTTTTCACTCATATGTGGATCCTGAGAAACTTAACAGAAGACCAGGGGGAGGGGGAGGGGGGGAAATGTTATAGAGAGGGAAGGAGGCAAACCATAAGAGACTCTTAAATACTGAGAACAAACTGAGGGTGGATGGGGGGTGGGGGAGAGAAGAAAGGGGGTGATGGGCATGGAGGAGGGCACCTGTTGGGATGAGCACTGGGTGTTGTATGGAAACCAATTTGACAACAAATTATACAATAAATAAGTAAATAAAGAAATGATCTGAGGTTTTTCAGGAATACAAATATGATAGGCCATTTTCATGTGTTGTAGAGAGAGAGAAACCATGGCTTTAAATGCTGGTGGTCCTCGATCTTATGACCAGCAGCTATAATTTCTCTTTAGTTAGCCTTTGAGATAATGTATTCAACTCTTCTAGGCCTTCCAACAGAAAGACTGCCTGGTCTTCATGACATGCTGTACCAGCTCCTTCAGCCTTTGCTCTTGGTTACAGGGGATGTGGGGAAACCATCCCGGAGTCATCTTCCAGGACCCTACAATTGCTACATCAGCCTTTCGAGGAGCACAAGCACCGACAGCATAAACACAGTGCAATAAACCTTCTTTTGCTGACCGTGCGAGATTGCCAAAGTCCATTGGATTTTTATCCAAGTAGGTGGGACCGAGTGCGAGCCTTCAGCCTACATTCACACTGCTGGTCTGCACCTTGGAGAAGAAGGTAAGGAATAAGTTCACTCACACTGTTTGGATACCTGTATAGTCCCAGGTACTATGCTCATGTTGAATTGGGTAAGCACTTGCACTGTTTCTCAAGGTGGGCATCACCCCTGTTTTATTTTTTTATTGTTATTATTTAAAATTTTTTAAATATTTATTTATTTTTGAGAGAGAGAGAGAGAGACAGAGAGCACAAACAGGGGAGGGGCAGACAGAGGGGCACAAAGGATCTGAAGTGGGCTCTGTGCCGACAGCATCAAGCCCGACGTGGGGCTCGAACTCACAAACTGTGAGACCACGACCTGAGCCCAAGTCACACTCAACTGACTGAGCCACCCAGGCTCCCCATCACCCCCATTTTAAAAAGAAGGAGATTGAATCTCTGAGAGTTTCAGTATTACAAAACCAGAAAGCAGATGGGTCCAGGCTTGACCCAACTCATACCTGGCCAACCCAAAACCGTTCCTTGCTCTGCTTTTCCTCCCAGACTAAACTACACGTCCTGTTCCCTGCCTACCTCTCTTTGTACTCATACCAGCTCTGTGGGGCCTTCTGGATTTTATTGTGACAGAGGTAGGAGATAAAAGGGGGCAATAAAGCCCTCTCCCCAAGTCACATTCTCAAGGCTCTTTTCCTTCTTCCTCCAAGCCTGGTCCAGGGCCACTTTCCAGGCATGTGGTTCTCCAGTCCATCTTGTCCAAAGTGGGGATGAGTGTGGTGAGGAGAGAAGAGGGGAGTTTTCAGCTCAGCATTTCATTTAATAGCTCATACGGAGCTCAGTTCTCTTAGTTATCTTTGAGGACTCCATTTTGTCCTGGTCCATTGACTTTGTCCTCCAGGTAGGTGGAGTAAGGTGGAACTTGACCCTGGTCTCTGTATTGGATGGTTTTTATGTGCCGCCACAGGTCCTTTAGGCCATCTGTCAGGACCCAACTCTAGCTACAGTCACATTCTACCTGAGCCTCATCGGCCACCTCTACTGCACTTACTCTATATCTACTTCATGGTCTGCCAGCACGTAACCTGATATTCACCCCTTGAGCCTCTCACCTCCAATTCTGAGCACCTCACTTGCCTCTGAAGCATGTGGTACTGCAGTACTCACTTGAGCCTATGCAGAACCCAAATGGAAGCACAAGAGAGTTAAATACCATTGGGAATATTGGGAAATATAAGCTGGCAGATAAGCTTTTCCCTTTCATGCCCCTCCAGAGGACTGTCAAAGGCTCAATAGTTTTTGAGGACCTTAGGAAGATAGCACCATGTGATAGTGGGATGGAACACTTACTTTGGCATGGTACAAAATGCTGAGCCAGCTCAGTGCCATCATATCACATTGGGTCTCCTTCCTAACCTCACGTTCCCATTTGCCTTCCTCCCAGTTTCCCTAAGATCAAATTTTCTAGTAATGCTTTAAACTCTGTTTTTCTGGGGGAGCCAGGTTAAGACAAGTTTCTCCTGTGGTTGGTTTTATAGGATTTTCTCTGAATCACCTGGGACACTTGTTAAAAATACAGATTCCAGGGACCCATTCCAGACCTATGATTAAAATCTCTGGGTTTTAGATCTAGTGCTGTGCATTCCAAAAAGGTCCCGCTGGTGATTCTCATGCACATGACAGTCTCAGAATTGTGATGTTCCAGTGTTCCAGTCTAGGGTAAAATGAGGAAGAAGGATGGGGTATGTGCCCTCAACATCTTATTTGCTTGGAACAACTAAGAAATGTACAGCTATGGCTTGCAAACCCACCTCTCATCTTCCAAACTATGATACATTTCCTGCCACAGGTGAACAATTCCAGACACACATGACTGCAAAAGAAATCTTAAAGCCCATTCAAGAAAGGTCAGGTATGTACCTGAAGTCACCAGAGGCTACCACATAGGTTCAGGGCAGTAATCTCAGTGACATTGGATTGGCCTTGTGCCTGATTCCATCCCAAAGTTACCCATGAGGAATTGCTGTGTCTTAGTATGATTTATTTAACATCTAAAATCTGGGGAGGTGGAGGTTTGGGCAAAACTAAGACAATCTTCTAAAGGTCTGCACAACTGAATTAAGAAAGTCCCTACAGAGTTAGTGTGGGAGTGGCCAGGAAATTTCTCTTTGTGAGCAAAAGAAACGACTGATAGTCTTTGCAAGTGTTAGGGTCGTGAAAACAAAATTTCAGCCATGAATGAACTTGTGAGGGAGAAAATAATTATTACCTACTTCTCCCAAATAATTCACCCTCAAAGTTCAAGGGTCCAACAAGCGTGGCTTCTCATACTTGAACACATTCTTCACGTAGCAAGCAAGGCAACTGGGTATGTACAGGGTACATTTGCTTTCAATTTTCTCTTTTCTAGCTTCCTTTTCATCAAAACTACCTACTGTGGCAGGTGAAGAATGGACTAGGATGTCATACATAAATGGCTTCCAAACCCAACTTGGCTCTTCACTATCTCGGGAACATTAAGCAAACTATTCATTGTGCCCAAGTTTTGGTCCACTTATTTGGACACTGGACACTTTGTTTTAGCCTTTGTGGGTTGTGAGAATAACATGAGGCTAATTATAAAAGGGCATAGCACAGGATAAGAATTTAAGAAATTGTCATTAAGTTGTCATCGTCAGCTCATCATCATGGTGATTAAACTGGGACAAGAAGCCAGCAACAGTATATGCATCTATGGAATTATTGATGGTTTTGTGTTGATTTGTGTGATATCAATAGGACTGTGGGGATAAAAGCTGAAATAGGCATTTTTCCCCCCCACTCAGAATAATACCTTTAGCAGAGCAGAAAAAGAAAGGAAAATTGACTTGGTTGGTGGGTTGTGAGACCCCAGACTGTGCAGATAGGACTAGAAGTTGTAATTCCATGGTGAAGATGGGGGTGTCACTCGTGGTGGTGGGTGAACTACATAAGATTTAAGGCAAATTCTAAACCAACAGGTCCAGAGTTTCATGAACATATCATTCTGAAGAAATTTGAAAACATGGGTTCAGCTTCCAGAGGTGCTTTGAGGGAAAGCTTCATACTTTAGTTGATTGTTTGGGCCCTTGTACCTGTATAATACCTAGACTATATTATGCCCTCAGTAAATGTTAGTTGAAAAGTGAATACATACATATATGAATAGATTACTAATGGAAAAATAAAGCATGACAATATATATGACAGGTTTGATTATATTTCTGAAAATCTGTTAAGCTAATTTTGTACTTGGTATTCCCTGCTTTTTCTCCCACACTTAGACCCACCTGTCCCTTGATGGAGCACCTTCTCAAATCCTCATATTTCTCAGATGTTTCCACCTTCTAACTAAAATCTGCAAGGAAAGGTCAGGGAGCATTATTCAACATAAGTTGTGATGAGATAGTTAATTTTATATGTCAATTTGAATGGGGCATGAAGTGCCCAGATGTTTGACCAAACATTATTCTGGGTGTATCTATGAGGGTGTTTCTGTATGAGATTAATGTGGAAATCAGTAGACTGACTAAAGCAGATTGTTCTTCCCAAAGTGGGTGGGCCTCATCTAATCATTTGAAGAATTGAATAGAACAGAAAGGCTGAGTGAGGGGGAACTCTTGGTTTGACTGTTTGATCTGGGACATTGGTCTTTTCCAGCCTTTGGACACGGACTGAAACATTGGCTGTGCTTTCGTCTCAAGCCTGCCAACTTTCAAACTGGAACTTAAGCCATATGCTCTCCGGGTCTTCAGGCCTTTAGATTCAGTATTGAACTCCACCTTGACTCCTCTGGGTCTGTCTCTTGAGAGTTTTCTTAGCCTCTGTAACCACACAAACCAATTTCTTATCATCTATCTATCTATCTATGGAGAACCCTGACTAATGCATTTATGTATAAAATATTTGCATTTCGATAGGAATTAGAGAAGCAACAGATTTGACAAAGGACTGAGGTGGAGGTGAAGGTGTTGCCTTTGTGGGTAAAGAAGGTGAGAATTGTGGGTAAAGAAGGTAAAGAAGGTGGTAAAGAACTGAGATAGTCGATGTAACACATCCAACATCATAAATGCTCAGTAAAAACTTTGCGATTGATATGATTATGCTACAGGGCACTGCAGGTCATTCTACAGGAAACAGAACTCACTGTGGTTAAAGATATCTAGGAAATCTGGAAAGGAATCCAAGCCTGTCCAACTCCAAAGCCAAAGAAATGTTCATGGTGATTTTACAGAGACCCTGGAATTATCCATTATTTTGCCTGAGACACATAGGTGGGTTCCTATTATACATCCACAGTGCTTCACAGTCTCCCAAAATTTAACACTTTTTATCTCATTCAAACCTCAGAACCTGACTTGTGATGTAGATGCTATTTTTAATTTTACAGATAAGAAACCTCGAGACTCAGCGAAGTGAAGAGACCTGTTAATCATGCAGCTTGAATGCCGTGACCATGCTGGAGCTCAGACCTCATGACTCCAAGTCATGTATATTGCTCCATATCCAGGGGTGAAAAAAGGAATTTAGACTCTTACTGGAGCTGGTGAGACAACAAGCGTGGGTTGAGGACAGTTACCTGAAAAATCTCTGTCTTTCATAAAGTAAAAGAAACATGGTTTTGTGTAAGCAATGCAAACAGGAATATGCAAGTGTCATGGCAGAATGTATGCATGGCGTATCTATAATTACACAGAAGCTTTGCATTTAGAAATCGTATCATTCAACTGTTTTACTGCCTAAAATGCTTCAGCAGATTGAGATGATTTCAACCTGGTGGAAAATGGTGATCATCTTTCGCACATGTAAGAGGTCTTAGCAGCTCTCCCCTTTTCCTAGTTCACATTTCTCTAAGCCCTCGATTAATTCTTCCATTTGTAACATGAAGATTCCATGGGGCTATCACCATCCAACTTTTCTGGACGTGAATAAGATATATTTGTTTTACCTTTTTGCCAATACTTTGACCAGGAAATGCTTAAAATCACGCTACAGATTTTGCAAGCAGACATTGTCTGTTTCAGGCTCAGTGGCATCTATTGTCGGTAGACATAAACTTCAATCCTCTCCTTAAGACTTGCCTTTTCTTTGCCAGTGCGGTTGAATGTCCTATGTTAAATGACGTGTCCTGGCCCCTCTGTACCAGGTTGGGTGTGCAAGGGCACAGATAAAAACTGTCATTACTTAAAAACAAAACAAAACAAAACAAAACTGTCATTACTTGTTAGTACTGTAAATTTCCAAAGGCTGCTTGCCCTTGCCATGTTCTATGCTAGATGTCAGCAGGATGAATCAAAACCCATCCCTGCCTCTCAAGGAACTTACAGTGAGGTGAAAGACCAAAAATAAACAAATTGTTTGGCAAATGAACAAACAAGAGATACGCACAAGGGGTGTTGGGGTGAAGCTGGTAATATGCAGGAGTTGATCATAATAAAAGCTCACACCTTGCTTGCCATGGGCCACCATAATTAGGGCTTTGCCTATATTAGCTCTTTTGGTCCTCACAATAACTCTGCGAGTTAGCCTATCTCTAGTAGATTACTATAGTCTTCATTTTATAGATGGGCACACTGAGGCATGGAAAAGCTGAGGGAGCATAGAGGTGTGTGAGCTGAGAGTTGAATCCAGGTAGATTGGCTCATCCACTTAGCTGCTATCCTATACTGTCTCAGCCTGTGGTCAGGGGCAGGAGGAGCTGTGAACCAGTCGGAGGAGGTGGGAAACACATTCGATGCAGACAGAATTGCCTATTCAGAGGCATAGGAGACTGGGAAGATGAGGCCGAGATGAAGGCCTGCAGCTTGGGATGCCTGTGGCACACGGGTATGAAGACGCATATGCCAAAGGTAAGGCTAGACATATGAGCATATTCATCTTGCCCCTTCCAGGTGAAGACTTCCCTGTTTTGTTCTGGAGACACAAGGAAGCTGTTGAAGCATCTTAGGTATGGACACGTCATGACCTGATACCCATTTTCTGTGAGGTCATCTGGGGGAAGTGTGAAGGAGAGTATCTAGAACGTCTAGTAGAGTATCTGGAGTATCTGGAGTATCTAGGAGTGTATAGGAAAGCATATATTTCGAGAAGGGAGAGGGGACCCAAAGCAAAGCTACCAGAGGGGAGCCTCTCACAATTGTCTACGTATGGAGGGAGAGAAAGATGAACCGGAAGGCTTTTAATTGATAAGCTGGACAGGTGAAGAGAAAGGTGCCGAGGACTGTGGCCAGGTTGGATGTGTCTATAGGAACGTATGAGATGGCGCGGGGAGGAGGAAGGTAGCCCTGTTTTGGATGTTGAAGGCTCGAGGTACTTGGGATGTATGCTTGGGATGCTGCATGCACGTTATGGATTAATAGGGTGGGGATCAGCACCTGGAGAGAGGGGCTGACAGGTAGCACTGTGGGTAGAAGTGACGGGGGGCTTCTCACAGCAGTGTTTAGTGTATGGGAAGCTGGCAATTTCTCAAGGAAGGAGGTGCTGTAGGAGCTTCTGGGGGCAGCCAACGTCCTCAATGTTATCCACTCCCACCACCATTTCTTGGATCTGAGTCTGGAATTCTGTTTCCAGCCATGCCTTTACTCTTGAGTTGTGGAAGGTATCAACCCTAATTGAATTATTATTTAATAAAACATCTAGAATAGTGCCTGGAATGTAGTCATTACTGCACATAGTCTGCTGTGCAAGTGCTTATTAAGCAAAACAGGTGAAGGAACTCCCACTTAGCAGCTTGAGGTCTTTCTTCTTGCTTGATACACATAGGGCTTTGGGCAGGAAATAGAGATGCCTGAGGAGGACCAGCATCTTAGAAATAGGCTGAAGAAGAGTACAAGAAGGGCCATCCAAAGACTAAGCAGAACATCAACGAAAGCTTGTGTCACGCCAGGCTCATTTCTTCAAGAAGGTGGTGTCCACAGGGCGGAACGCAGGCAGCAGCACGATTAAGTGAAAGATGGCAAGTGTTTTATTAGGTCTGGAATCCATCTCAGAGATGAAAGTTGGCATGTGCCTTGTGGGATTGTTAATGGTAATAGTCTCAATGTTTATCTTTTAGACCTGCTGCATTCAATTTGGAACCAGGAGCCACAGGCGTCACCTAAGCCACTAGCCCACATGTCTTAAGTGGCTACTTTCCATTTCATGAGGTGTTTCAATAAGGATTTAATGAGTGTCTGATGTGTGCCAAACAAAACAGACAATGTCTTACAGGAGACACAGATGTTTATGTGTATGTTTAATGTCAAAACATGTGTAGCCTGTGCTCCCTGCTATGTGCTCTCATGGTTCTTGCCTGAAGTCCATTTGTTTTCTGCAATTCTGAACTTCTTAGTATAATTGATGGAGAGAGACAATGAAACTATACAGCTCCTCCAAGGAGACTGTAAGCTCCAAGATAGCAGGGTTGTCTGGGTCTGCACATCCACATGTCCAAGAGCCTGGCACATAAACACATACGGAATAATGATCACAATTTCAGGAAGTGCAATGAAGAAATGGTACAATGTCCTTTGAGAGTAGGTAACTGGGGGGATCTTATTTAAATGAGAGGGTATTCAGACCAGAGAAAAATTCCGTAAGGAAATGACAGCTAGAGTGAGAGTTGCAAGAAGAAGGGGGGGAGGTAGCTAGAGAAAAGAGGGGAGGGCCTTTGAGGGAGCGGGGTGGGGGAAGATCCCCAAGTGAACAGAGTTAGCTGCACTCTGTCTCATTTCACACAGTGGTTTCCTTTAAGCTTCTGTAAAATGCCATTTCAGGAAATCATGTGTTCTGTTTTTTAAAATGACTCATAAAAGAGCTATTTTGTTGTCATTGGCATTAAAAATAAATTCAGAATAAAATAACTTGGAACCATGTTTATTTTCATTCTTGAGTTTTTATATAAAATGATGGAACTGCACGTTTAATTTTTCTTCTGCTGTTTTACAAATGGATTTTTTTTCTTCTTGCTGGCTGATGTCAGCTGCCTACCCTGAACCCCTGGGGACGGTGCTGCCTTTGGGTCTGTTCCCTCCCTCACCTGATCAGTCATATTCTGGAGGAGATCTGTGTTTATCTCCCAGGTTGGGCAGGGAGGATCCGCCAGGACAGCACAGCCACTCCCAACTCCAGAGAGGACATATCTGCTCAGGGCAGCTGAGAGGCAGTCAGAGCCTCGGTACACATGGAGTCTAGGCTCCCTGTTCCTGACATTCCAGACACTCTACTTCCTGGCTGTGGGGTTGGGGAAGAGTTAACTCTCTGAAGCTCAGAGACGTAAATGACATGATTGCATAGTGCCAGGTAAACTATTTGGCACACAGTTGGTTTGCAGTGTGTATGAACAAAAACAGACCTAGTTAGTCCCTGCTGGTTTTCTTACCTGTCTTAAATTCATCTCTAAATGTATCCATCTGGATTTGAGACTCCGTAGTCCCATGAAGAATGAAGGGAACTCCCTATAAACTTATCTGGAAGGACACAGGTGCCAGGTATTATATACTTGATCAATGGAAACGCTTCTGGGGTCAGAAATTGAGGGCATCCTCAATCAGATGGTATTTGCCACGCAGATTTATTCTTCAATATGAGTCCGTGGGGGGCTGGAGGAGAGGCTTCGGGAAGAGGGGTTAAAGTCTAGTGAATGGAAGACTCGACGGAACATTCTCCTTGGTGCATCAAGGGCTCTGGTGTCTCAATGAGACCAAGGTGGTCAGTGTGGCATCTAAGTGTAGAGAGAACAGGATGCTTTGGCTCCAGTGTGGGAAGCAGGTGCAAAGGAAGCACCTTCATAAAGCAAAGAACCACCAATAATAATAGGGTGGAGGGAATGGGTCCGGAGGCTGAGCCTCCTTCTGTTGTAAGTGTAGAGAAAGAATTGAACCCAACACACACTTCCATGTTAGGACCCATTTGTCCTTCCTCAGTGGGTATGGCCTTGGAAAATGGCTGGTTACACCTAGACACCGTATCACATTTTTATTTGCAGCTATAACAAATTGCCAGAAACTCAGTGGCTTAAACACATTTAAAAAAAAAAATTAATAGTTCTGGAGGTTGGAAGTCCAGAATGGGTTTCACTGGGTTGAAATTCAGGCGAGGGCAGGGCTGTGTTCCCTTCTGGAGGTTTTATGGGAGAATCTGTGTCCTTGCCTTGTCAGCTCCTAGAGGCCAACTCTGTTCATTGGCTGGTGGCCTCTCTTTCATCTTTAGAGTCAGCAGCATGGGGTCGCGTTTTCTCAGGTCACATCCCTCTGACCCTCTCTCCCGTCTCCCTCTTCCACATTAAATGACTCTGTTCTTACATGGGGCCCACCCAGATAATCCAGGATAATCTCCCAATTTGAAGGTCAGCTGATGAACCACCTCAATTCCATCTGCTACATTAATTCCCCTTTGCCACATACAATAACACATTTACAGTCCCTGGGAATTAGGGCATGGATGTCTTCGGCACTGCCACAAAATCAAATGTGTGCTGTTTACGTTGGGTGAGGGGGGACCGGACTAGTGTCAGAAGCCATGGGCTCTGGTTTTGGCATCACTGTTGATGACCTGTGTGATGCAGCGAGCCATTTTGTTGGATGGTTCCCTGTTTCGTCACCTGTGGATTGGCAGCCCTGTCCGGAGACAGAGCAAGTGTAGGAAGAGGAGGAAGCAGGAATGGGGTGGATCTGGGTTAATGTCTTGCTCTATTCTCTAGCTGGGTTAACGCATTTGCATATTTATAAAGAAATTGCAGACATTACCTGCCAAGAGGGAAGAATGAGGGAAGCAGGTATAGTGGGATGCCTGCTTGCCTCAGGCTCAAAGAGTTCCAGCCCAAGTGTGTCTTGAGGCAAGTCACCTCCTTTCTGCTTCTCATCTGGGCCCTTTGGTAGAAAAGTCATGTAGAGGGGCACCTGCGTGGCTCAGTCGTTTGAATGTCTGGCTTCGGTTCAGGTCATGATCTTGTGGTTTGTTAGTTCATGCCCTATATTGGGCTAGTTGCTGTCGATGCTGTCAGCGCACGGGCCCTTTTGGATCCTCTTTCCCCCTCTCTCTGCCCCTGCCCCATTTGTGCTCTCTCAAAAATAAACATTAAAAAGAAAGAAAGAAAGAAGGAAAAAAAGAAAGAAAGAAAGAAAGAAAGCAGAGTCACGTACAGTCTGAACTCCTGGACCTCCAGTGCCCTCCTGAGGGCTGTGCTTCTATTACTGTAAATCCAAGGCTAAAGGGGCCTACTTGGGGGAAACTTAGAGACCATCCCAGGATTTGTTTCTGTGTTGAGCTGATTCCACACTGAAGTTCCCAGTCAAGGGCAACATGCCAGGACTCCTTGGTTTATAAGCAGGATGCCAACATAAACACTATGGCTTTGGTAGGCAAGGGGCAGACTCCATTTCAATCCTTTATGAAGCATCTGAAAATATTCAGAGTCTAGGATCAGCTATGAGGGCTGGAGGGGGAGAAAAGAATACATGGCATTTGTGTACATCTCCTATGGACATCATGGGCTGTCCTGTTCATTTTCCTCATTTGATCCCTCCTCCAAGTCATTAAATTATACAGGAGGGGTGTTGTTATTATCTTCATACAGATAAACAAGTGAAGCCTACATTACCCCTTTGGCCATTGATCAGACCAAGGCACCATACATCTCCTTTACCTACAGAAGTCTCTGAGCTATCGTTTTCTAGTGTCTTCCTTGGGACACAGCTAAGGTTCACTCATTCATTCAGGAAATAAGGGAATAAATTAGACCTGGTTTTTATCCTCAAGCATCTTATAGAAAATTGGTAGGGAAGTAATGGCAGCACAGGACAGTATGCGTCCCCATGGAGGAAAGTGCAGGGTGTGTTTAGACCCCTCAGGAAGTTGCCTGATCCTGTGTGGAGAGGGTTAGCAGTTTCCCAGGGAGGAAATGATACTTGACTTGAACATGGGAGGACCAAGATTGGATGCAAGGTTTCCAGGCAAGTGGAACAGAGAAGAGAGATGCCTTGGTACCATCAGAGAAGAGTAGGTGGCTCCCTCAGACAGGACGGGTGGCAGGAGGGAGCTTGGCACAGTGGACAGCACCCAGTGCTGAGGTCAGAGAGGCCTGGGCCCAAATACCATCTGTGTCATTTATTGCTGCCATTTAATCTTTCTGTGCACCAGGATTTCACATCTGGAAGTAGAAATATGATTCTGCATCATTTCATTATGATTATGTTGGATAATAGTAAGAATAGCTAACCTAATATTTGTTATTTCCAGACACTAGTCTAAGTGGTTTATACCGATTAATTCTTGAAGCTTCTCAAATTTTTATTGTTTTATTTTTATTTTTTTTCACATTTATTTATTTTTGAGACAGAGAGAGCATGAACAGGGGAGGGTCAGAGAGAGAGGGAGACACAGAATTTGAAACAGGCTCCAGGCTCTGAGCTGTCAGCACAGAGCCCGACGTGGGGCTTGAACCCATGGACCGCAAGATCATGACCTGAGCCGAAGTCGGACGCTTAACCGACTGAGCCACCCAGACGCCCCCTCAAATTTTTGTTTTATACACCACAATTTTCCCTGTTCTATAGATAAGGGACCAGAGAAAAATAAGTAACGTGTCCAAGGTTACATGCGATTCAGTAGAAGAACCAGAACTGCAGAGGCAGCCATGCTTTTAACCAATGTGTATAGGAAATAGACACAGAGCACCAATATACAGTAAGTGCACGGCAGGCAGAGGAGGTGTTGTTGAGCAGAGGAGGTGGGCAGAGGCCAGATCGTGAAGGGTTCTGCTTGTCTTTTATCCTATAGGCCATTGAGAGCTCAAGGAAGGTTGGTCATGACTTGTCAGTCATTTTAAGATGATCACTCTGGTGGCCGTATATAGGATGGCCTACAGGAGATAAGACAGAATATTGTCTTTGCAAGACATTGAAGGACATTTTCAGTTTTTTGAAAGAGAGTCAAGAACCTTTATCCCTAGACTTTAAAGTGTCACAGAAAGAAGTCACAGTGTCAGAGTTTAAAGGAAGAGAGACCAAGCTTCTACTTGGGACTGCCAAAATACCATGGAGACCACTTCTGTGATTATGTCATAAAGCTGTCTTTCCAGAGTTTTCTATGCAACAAACAGGTCTATTGAAAATCCTGGCTTAACACGTCTGTTGGGCTGAACACAGAAAATAGCATTCAACTACTCTGCTTAAGCAAGGATGTTCAATGAACAGTTTTAGTAAGTAAGGTTCATATAAGATTCCATTAATCATGGATAGTGATATGGTACCAGATAGGAATCAGGAGTTTTGAACTAAAGACTTATAGTCACTTTGTATCCCCATTTGTAAAATAGATAATACTTGGGAGACTCAAAAAGTTTTGTTCACTGGAAGGTAGTTTACATAAAGTATCTACGAAGCTGATGTTTATTGAGTACCACTATAATACCTAATAGATAAATATGTCTAGACACCACACTCACGGTTCTTTTCTTGTTTAACTATTACAACCGTCATGTGAAGTTGGCGTGATTACTATCCTTACCTTATAGGTGACGAAATGGGAGTCTTCAGGAGATTCAGTCATTTTCCCAAGACCTCACAGCTAATTTCACACTGGAATCTTTCTGACTCTAAAACTCCTACTTCTGAGTTTGATGACATGGGTA